GCATGCATGTCCAAAAAGCCAGCTTGAGTTAATTTTTATTAATGTTGAATAAGTTTCAAAGTTAGAATTAAATTCTGTTAACACAAAACAAGTTTTTTTTTTCCCGTCATTAAAGTGGATATTAAAGTGATTAATTTAAGTGATTGTTTGTTTAAAGTTATTTTATATATTTTTTTAAATAAGGGGCAGATATAAGAAATTTTTTTTCGTCTTTCTGCACCCTTTTCATTCAATTTTTTTTTAATGATTTTGTTTATTTTGTCTCTTTTAAATGAATGAAAAAATAAATTAAATTGCTTTAAACACTGCAGTTCATGACATAAACCAACACAGACATGTTCCTGTTTTTACCAAAAAAGTCCATGCTCAATAATTAGGGCTGGGTACCTTTCTAAAAAACTTGGTATCGGTACCGGTGTCGGTACCTTCACTTCGGTGTCGGTTCTTGGATGGTTCTTTTTTCTGTTCCAATTTTGTAATTATTATTAGTTCTAACAAGAATAAAATTATGTTCCACATTACAGTACAAATTGTGAGCTTTATTTTTTAACTTAGGTATTTTTCTATTCCAAGCAGTTTTCTTACATAAAAATAAACAAATAATTTTCATGTCAAAAGACCAGTTTCAAACAAGTGACACATCAGTGTCTAATGCTCACTGCTGCACACTGAGGACCTTTTCACTTAACAGTTTTTCTTCAGAAACAACATGTCTGCTTTCTTTGGACACAAACAAGCCCACTCCTGGCTTATGGTGTCTCCAGCAGTAGAAAATGTTCACTCTGAGGGTGTGGATGATGCTTGTTGCACACACAGATACCTGGTTGTCAGTTTGATAGCACTGACATATTGTCCCTCACATTCCACCAGCAGGTCACTGGATTCACTGAGGTTAGGGGTGATGCAGACATCTGCACCTCTGTGTCTCTTTCTGAATCTTCTCTGTGGTTCACGAGAGTTTAGGGCTCTGATCATCTCCCTAATTGACATGAGAACAAAACATCAACAATAACATGGTTGTGTTATTATTTATTACTCAAAAAACATTATCTAGGCTGAGAGATAAAAGCTTAACTGGTCAACAAAATCCTTTACAGTTTAACTTACCTCCACCATGCAGCTTCCACTGTAGAAAAAGCAGCAAACTTTTTTAACAACAAAGTTTGTGACTGTCCTGTGGCCCTGATCTCGCTTTTCTTTTGTCCTCTTCACATCAGGGTCAGAACCTCCTGTGAGGAGAACATTAAAATAAACACTGAACATTAGTGAACTGTTTAAGCAGCTGACTGGATGGATGAGCACATTTTTACAAGCTAAGCTTTATCTGTTACTGTCCATCTTTAGTTAGCTTCTGATTTTAGCTAGCTACATAGATACCCATAAAATAAATTTACACACTAATAACTTAAGAAGTTAGCGTTACATGGATCATAGTTTATTTCACCGCAATGCATGTGTTAAGCTGCAGTAACGTTAACAAACGTAAACTCACCAGCTGAAACACAGAGCCGTCCTCAGAGTTCTTTGATGAAGAGGAGTCTGGTCGTGGAGATAATGAATCAGGACGTTCAGGCTCTCTAACACTCACAGGCAGACTTTAATGCTGAGAGGGGGGGGGGGGGGGGGAGAGACTGCTGAACTCCTCTCTCCTCGCAGTGTAAAACATGGAGCAACTTTCTGCACACGTGAACCCTGTCTGTGGGCGTCACCAGCACCATAGACATACATTATACATAGATTAGGTGCAGCAGCTCTATACAGCTCTGGGTGTAAACAGTAGTCTGTTGTCATATGTCTGGTGTTTTACCTGCCTGCATGCTGAAACCACGTGACACGTTACAGCCAATACCGAAACTTGACACCAAAAGAAGAGTGACGTTTCAATACATACACCGACCAGTGCAGTTCGATCGGTGCCATAAAAGAACCTCGGTTCGGTACTCAGCCCTAGTCGACACACAGCTTTGGATTTGCACTTGTCTCTCAAGAAAGCCATAATGTTCGACAACAGGAGACCACAATGAGTTGCTAGGCTGCTAATGCTGCGCGTGTTGCAAGATAATAGCGCCGTGCTGAAACACGTTTAGGAACTTTAGTTTCACGGTGCATAATCTCTCGTTAATAAAAGTTTGAGTGAAAAAATAACCGAAACAGTCCGCAGGTGGACCAAACCGAACATGCTGTACCAAAATGGTTCATTACACCATATGTATCATTACACTTCTACTAGAAACAAAGCAAGACAGCAACCTGCAATGTCTGCAGAGCCACTGTACCGAGAGGAGGAAGCTCCATTGCGACCTACAATACAACGAAGTTAATCAAATATAGCACCACATTAAACCGCGGTAAAGTTAGTTTTACGTTGGACATTCGAGCTCCATGTTTTTCTTGTTCAGTTCGAAGCAGGCAGTCTGGTTTCAGTCAGCCATGCTCAATCTGCCCCGCTCAGTCTGCCCTTCTTGAAGGAGGGGCAGACTGAGCGCGGCTGACTTAAATCAGACTGCCTGCTTCAGATTGAATGAGAAGAACACACCGCTTAAGTCACGTAGCTTGAATGTTTACTGAGAAATTGCTAAACTTCATTGTAATTAATGTCCAACCGCTATCATTTGTAGAAAACAAAGGATTTTGCAAGCCAAGATATAGTTTACCCTCAAGGAGATATTTGCCAGTACAACAGTAGACGATCAATAAACAAAAAAGCATATGAATTGAAAATAACAAGAAAATTATATATATATATATATATATATATTTATTATAAGAAACAAAAACAGCTACATTATAAAGCGATGTAAAATACTTAAAACAGGAACATGTCTATGTTGGTTTATGCCATGAACTTAGCAGATGTTTAAAGCCCTTACATTTTTTATTTTATTTTTTAATTCATTCATTCATTTAAAATAAACAAAATGAACAAAACAAATTCATCAAAAAGAAAAAAAAACATGGAATGAAAACAGTGAAGAAAAGAAAAAAAATTGCATAATATCTGCCCTTTATTTAAAAAAATATATAAAATAACTTTAAACAAACAATCACTTAAATTAATCACTTTAATATCTACTTTAAAGCTAGGAATTAAAAAACATGTTTTGTGTTAGCAGAATTTAATTCCAACTTTGAAACTTATCCAACATTTTTTTTTTTTTTTTAGATGGCTTCCCTTCTCCCCTTACAGCCATCCTCTCCACACCATTATTGTGAAATATTTATTCTAGTGATTATCTAGTGTAGTTTTTTTTTTTTTTAAATAGGATGGAAAGAAAGAAAAGACAAAGTATGACTCCGAAATATACACAGAGAGCGCACACGGCAAAACACCCGGCCACTGTCTGTTCACCTGCAAAGAACATGACAAAACACAGCAACAAAATACATATGTATAAAGAACTTAAAATATTCATGGCTTTGCAGTAAGTTTCCATAAATATATATACCCATACCTACGCCTATATACATACATACATACACATGAATATACATTTATCTATATATCTACATATAAAGCCTACATAAGCATCCCTGCATCTATTTGTGTGTGGTTGCGAGCATGCATAAGTGTATAAGGCTTCTCTAATAGAACATTTAATAGTAACCGTGAAGCAGCAGAGACCCGACGCCCAAGACCAGAGGCAGACGAAAAAGGGGGGACCAGAGCCCAAGACCCCAGGAGGGACCCCGACCGCGGAGCCCCCAGGGCCAGCCACACAGGACGAACCACTCACCCACCCCCCAGTTCAGACCACAGGGGAGAACCGGAAGATCCCCACCAGCGACCACATACAGTGACCCCCCGGGGCCAACAGCGACAAACTCATAGGCCCCCGCCGGAACCTGCCGCACCGATGCAGGTCCAGGCCCGGGCACCGAGGACTCACACCACCCAGGCCAAGGCCTGACAGGGCCAGAGGACCCAAGCCCCACCAGGCAGACACCAGGCCGAGCCGACAAACGCCCAAGCGCCCAGCCCCCGACACCAAGGGCCCCAAGCGCGCCGGCAGGCAAGGGCACACCCCACCAGGGGGCCGCGCGATAGGGGTGCGATGCCAAGCATCCCCATTTGTATCAAAGAGGGGGCAGTCTGAGTCTCGGCCTAACAAATACACATTCATACACAGACACAATCACACAGTCACACCGCTAAAGTCACGTAGCTTGAATGTTTACTGAGAAATTGCTAAACTTCATTGTAATTAATGTCCAACCGCTATCATTTGTAGAAAGCAAAGGATTTTGCAGCTTGACTGAATACTTGCAGCCAAGATATAGTTTACCCTCAAGGAGATATTTGCCAGTACAACAGTAGACGATCAATAAACAAAAAAGCATATGAATTGAAAATAACAAGAAAAAATATATATATATATTTAACCAAACAATCACTTAAAATGAATCACTTTAATATCCACTTTAAAGCTAGGAATTAAAAAAACATGTTTTGTGTTAGTAGAATTTAATTCTAACTTTGAAACTTATCCAACATTAATAAAACTTACCTTAATTTGCCTTTTTGGACATGCATGCATAGATTTGTACAAGTGGTACTTGAGAGGAGATTATTACAGCCTCATAAAATCAATAATGGTTGCCATTTTATTTTAACTTGTTAAAAAAAATTTAATTTGTATTTATCTTTTATGATTGTCTGTTGTTGTCATTGTTGTCCACTGTTGTCATCACTCTTTGTTAAAAATTTAGGCATCTCTTGTTAATGAGTCCCTGAGGCTCAATGGGATTAACCTGTATAAATAAAGGTGGAATGAAAAAAATAATGATGATGATGATATCAAAATGATATCCATATCCAGATTTAGGTATCGGGATCGGATCAGCAGTTAAAAAAATGTGGATTGTGCATCCCCAGTAGATTGCTATCACCGTGCTGGGCACCCCTGATCTAAAGGATAATTCTCATTTGCAGAATTAAAATTTCACTCAAATCTGTAAAATGTTTTATTTTATCGCTTGCTTTTTTTTTCTTCTTTCCCCAGAACTCCCACACTTTCTTTGTAAGGAGATTTGTACTGGACAGCAGCTCTGTAACCAGGACAGCAACTCCAGGATGGATCATGGAGAGCCAGAATCGTTGGAATTTAAAGAGGAACTGGAGGAACCAGAACCTCCACAGATTAAAGAGGAATTTGAGAAACCAGAGCCTCCACAGATTAAAGTGGAATTTCAGAAACCAGAGCCTCCACGGATTAAAGAGGAATTTAGGGAACCAGAATTTCCCTGGATTAAACTGGAAATTGAAGAACCAGAACCTCCACAGATTAAAGAGGAACTTGAGGAACCAGAACCTCCAAATATTAAAGAGGAACTTGAGGAAACAAAGTCCCCACAGATTAAAGAGGAACCAGAAACTCCTCAGATTAAAGAGGAATTTAAGGAACTAGAACTTCCCTGGATTAAAATAGAAATTGAAGAACCAGAACCTCCACAGATTAAAAAAGATTTAAAGATACCAGAACTTCCACTGATTAAAGAGGAATTTAAGGAACCAGAATTTCCCTGGATTAATATGGACATTGAAGAACCAGAATTTCCACAGATTAAAGTGAAACTTGAAGAATCAGAACCTCCACAGATTAAAGAGGAACTTGAGGAACCAGAACCTCCACAGATTAAAGATGAACACAAAGAGCTCTGCATCAGCCAGGAGGAAGAACTGCTGGTTTTAAAACAGAAGACCTGTATAATGAGTCAAACTGATAAAGAAAGTTCTGACAATAAAACAGAATCAAATAGCAAAGACAATGTTTTTGAAGCGAAGAGCCGAAATCAGGAAGGAAGCTCTAAAACCAGTAACGGGTTGTTAAAATGTAACATTTGTGGAAAAACCTTTCATAAGGCCAGTTTATTGAAGCGACATCACATTACTCACACAGGTGAGAGACCATATCCCTGCACTGTATGTCAGAAAAGTTTTCGAAGTAAAAGTAATATGCAGCTCCACATGAGAACACATACTGATGAAACACCATATTCTTGCAAAACGTGTGGAAAGGTTTTCAGATTTCGAAGTGGTTTCATGATCCACACCAGAACTCACACTGGTGAGAAGCCCTACTTTTGTGAAACTTGTGGGAAAAGATTTTCTAACAGCCCAGCTTTCAAAAACCACAAGTTAATCCATACAGGGGAGAGGCCACATTCATGCAAGACCTGTGGTAAAAAATTTAACAGACATAGCCATTTAAGTCGGCACACAAAAATTCACACTGGCGAAAAGTTGTTTCTTTGTCAAACCTGTGGGAAAGGTTTTGGTTGCAGGAATCATTTAACACGACATATGACAAGTCATACCGGTGAGAAGCCCTACACTTGTACAACCTGTGGTAAATGTTTCAGCAGGAGCAGTCATTTATCAAACCATGAGAGAAATCACACGGAAGACAAACCATTCTTTTGTAAAGCTTGTGGAAAAACCTTCTCTGATAAGGCTGCTCTTTCAAAGCACACACGCACGCATAAAAAAAGACGTCATTCATGCAAGACATGTGAGAAAAGTTATGGGAGTAAGAGTCATTTGAATCGGCACATGAAAATCCACAGTTAAGCTTTAAGGCTGAAACTTTTAGGTTCAAACATTTATGTAGTGATTTGTTCTTAACCAAAATAAAACAAAAATGAACCTAAGCCACTGAAGAGCTGCTGACTGTGGCTCTGGGTTGATGCGTCATCCTCCTGGATCCAATGAATAAACATGGTTCTTCTGTAGAACATTTATTGATCTTGAGTTTTATACTTACAGTCTGGCTTAGTTACACCAAAAGGTTCAGATAATAGCGTGAAGCAATTAAATAACAAAAGATGACAACGATGATTACGTGACGACGGTCAAAAACTGTTTGTTTCAGCCGCAATCAGCACACCTGCTGAGCGGTTACCTGTGACTCCTTTTTAACCACACATGATGTCACTCACTATGACTTTCAGGTATTCCACCAAACAAAAAATAAATGGATAAACACCAAAAAATATGGCTCTATTTCTATTTCTAAAAAACCGGCCCCTAATTGTAAATGGCAGCTGATGTTACAATTAACTTTTAATATGAAAGTACAGAGCAATGACAACAATAATGAAACAGAAATTATGCCCAATAATACCCAACATGTGCATGTCACCACACATAACATTAACTACTTTCAGCTTCTGTTAATAGGCATAGCTTCGAGACAGGTCTTTCTAGGATGTTTGTTTTTGTCTGAAGGCTCACAGAGCATAACAGGCCTTTTTTTTTTTTTGTCTGAAGGCTCACAGAGTGTACCTGACCTTTTTTGTCTGGAAAGGTTTTCAACACTCTGCCCAGAAACCAAGACCCTTGTGGAGCTACAGGATCCATCACGACGACTGTCTCCAGGAAAAAAAAATTATCCTCTCTTGGTTCATTTTTGTTGCTTTTGAAGTAATGGGAGGTACTCTTGCACCCATTTTTTCCAAAACAAATCTGCAAGATATTGGATTTGTCGCCATCTCCTCTTAACATCGTCACATACACATCATCCTTGTTAAACAATCCAGGTGATAAAACTGGTTTTCCTTTCGTCAGGAGAATGTGGTTAGGCGTGAGTGTGTAGTGAACTAGGCCTCCGACCTCAACCTGTCTCTGAAGACCTTCAGGGGACAGGAACTGTTATTTCATTGATCTGAATCCAGAAATACAAATTATCTCATCAAGAGACTATTTAATTGTATCCTGAATTAATCAATTGAAAGAACACTCTTCCATTTTACATTATCATTACTATTTTAAGATATCTTGATAATCAGAGTGTGTTTAGTTCATACCATTTCTAAATGTTGAAGTGAACCACTCATTTAAATCAACTGTGAAACAGTTTTAATGATTTTTAAACCTCATTAGACTTAGAAATCAAGTTAAATGTCTATTTACAAAGTAATTGTGCATTTTGATCTTCTGTCTGAATGAGCGGATTTGATGTCGGTCAGAAGTCAGAAAGCAAGTTATGAGAACGAAGTGCCTTGTTTTTAAACCTAGCAGACAGTAAATAAGGGTGCATTCACACCAGCCCTGTTTAGTCCGCTTTAATCGAACTCTAGCTCGTTTTCCTAGAAAGTCCGGTTCGTTTAGGGAGGTGTGAACGCACCATCGAACTCTGTCACGGAACAAAAAGGCGAACTCTGGCCCAGGCTAAAACCTAGGTCTCGGTCCGGTAGAAGCAAACTCTAGCGCGGTTTGAGTATAATGTGAATGTAAACAGACCGAGCCCCGCTCCGCAGGGTAAACAAACACGCATTTCTCTGACCTTATATGGAGCCGTCAGCTGCCTTGTGTGGAAAAACAACATTCTCCATGGTCTTCTGTCTCATCTTCTGCTCATGCCAAGTCCATTTTTGAAAAATGACAAAATATAACTCCTAAAACTGCTAAAACTTGATGCCACTTCGTTTTTGTTTTTATTTACAGAAGAAGACGTGTCTTCAGAGGTTTTTGTGTCGTTTCTTTCAGTAGTTCTTGGTGCAGCGCCCCCACAGGCGAGAGGGGGAATAGGTTGGTTCAACAGGTTGACTCAACTGCACAGTGCAGTGTGAATGCAAACGCACCATCTCAAATGTAAACAAAAGGTCATGAATATTGGTCCCGAACTGAACCGAGTCTACCGGACTATCAGGTGTGAAAACGACCTAAGAAGCTGGCACCTGCAAAGTTTCTCACTTCTTCAAAATATTTTTCTCATCTTTACTAACCGTTCCTAAACATTCCTGCATCCTCTCTTGACTTCTAATAACCCTCTGACATCACTGAAACACCGCCCCTGCTGGTTGTTTCAACCAATCAGGAAGTACCAAGTGACAGGAAGTGAGTACTCTTTAAAAAGTCAACACTTCCTGGGACTATTCAGTCTTCTTTCAGTCTTCCTTGAGTTTATGAAGTCTTCCCAGGAGTATTCCACTTCTGAGTGGAATTTCTGACTGAAGTCTTACTGAGAGTTCCTAAGGAACTTTCAGATATAATCAATAGCTGATGGATTTGACTGTGAGACAAGGGTCCGTCCATCCCAGCGGAGTCACAGCTCCTCGCTGTGAACTCACCCGGGCGTAACGCCCTACAACTTCGAAGGAAGCTTGTTCTGTTGAACGGAGTAAATCGTCACGACTTCGAACGATGACCAGCCACCCTGACCGGAGACGCTGAAAGGTAGCGTGCATAGGGCCATCTATACTGGAGCTGATCCATCCACTGCAAAGGTAAAGAGACGTCACGAGTTGTCACGCACTAAGTGGACTGGGGGTTTGAGCTGGTGTTGAAAGAAGAGTGCTAATTCTGGTCAACAAACACACATCTTCCTTCATCCATCTTCCTTTTAAATCTATTTCTTCTCTTTAACTTCTATTTGCCAGTAATCTAGATGCCTTCCTAGGTGAATCGGCCTCGATCAGTAATGTTCTGCTGTCTTGTTAGTAAAGCATGCCAAGTTTATTAATCAGAAACAGATCAGCAAATCAATGTGTACATGTTTTGGTGTTAAATTTTGATTCTGTTAAATAAATGACCGCATTTATTCTGATGGGTCAAAGATAAAATGGCGTCTCATGTCACTGATTAAACAATCCACTCACAGTTGTCTCGGTCACATGGCAGAAATTTAACTTGAAAAAGAAAGAATCCGTTGTAATTAACAATTAATATTCTTTGTGCTTGAACTAGCTTTAAGAATAATTAATTAGTGTGTCTACAGCAAAGCTGTCCTGACATCACTACAAGTGGTTCCAAATCAGTGGGACCATCTGAGAATTTAGTGAGGGGTTGACCATTCAATATAGCCTCAACCTCGCACAAAATGGTCTGCATCATCATCCAGCGTTTGAAGATGTAACACAGAGGTAAGAACTTTTTTTTACCATCCGAATAGCACATTCCCAGACTCCTCCAAAGTGCACTGCTGCAGATGGATTAAAGTTCCACTTGATGCCATCTTGCAATAACACTCTGTATCTGATTATGGCTTATAGATTTAAGTGCTTCCCTCAGTCCTTTCTCTGCTCCCACCACATTTGTGCCATTATCTGAGCGGATTGAAGACACTTGTCCTCCTCGACTGATAAATCTTCCCAAAGCATTAATGCATTCATCAGTGTTTAAAGACAAAGCCACTCCCAAATGAACAGCTCTGCTTGTCAAACAAGTAAAGATGACACCATAACGCTTGCAGTAGCTTTGTCCTCTCTTCGCCTCCAAAGGACCAAAATAATCCACCCATATGTGTGTAAAGGAAGGGAGATCTGGAAGGAGCCTTTCCTTTGGCAGGTCCGCCATTTTCTGCTCGCCCAACTTTCCTTTGTGTCATCTGCAGAAGCTACATTGTGATATGATTTTTCTCACAGCTAATGTGGCATTTGTTATCCAAAATCTTTTTTGTAGTCTTGACAGCATATGATTTCTGCCGTTGTGGCCAACTTGTTGGTGCATTTGTCTCTAAATTAGTGTGGAGGCATGTTCTTTTGACAGTATGAGTGGATGCTTTGTTTCTTCTGGTAAAGCTGACTTATTCAAGTGGCATCCAACTCTCAAAAGTCCATCCTCTAGACACGGGTCTAGTTTGTAAATAGAGTAATCTCTTGGTACAGGTTTTCCAACTGATAGTGCTGCAATCTCTTTTTTGAACCTCTTCTGCTGACTGTATAGAATAATGGAAATTTCAGCATCCAAAAGATCCTCAACTGATAAAGTTCGATTTATTGCTTTTTTGGCCCTCTCCATCGCATTAATTTCTCTGCACCTGTCTTAAGAGAATACAACTTTTTTCCCCCTTTGTTTCAATTGCAGAAGAACCCTTTTCTATTGAATAAACCAGGCAGCTGCCACCTTAAGCTTGCTCCGATCTGAGAAATATGAAAGGAGCTGATCTGTGGCATTAGGAGAGTCCTGAACGATGATGTTTACTGTGGCATCTCTTTTCACCTCAACATCTTTTTTCATTCATTCAGCCTTTATTTAAACAGATAAATCACATTGAGCCTTGAAGACTCATTTACAAGTGAGACCTGTTTGGACAGACAAAAACAGTGGTTAACTGGACACATGTAGGAGTTGGAGGCGGAAAAAAAATTCCTATCAGACTTTTTTTTTTTTTTGTCTGAGGAAAAAAAAAAACTCTAAAATTCAAAAAACACCCCGCACAAACAGCACATAGTGACGTAGACATTCTGCAAATGGAGACAAGAGCGGTCAGCAATGTTCATAGATGCTCTTGAGGTCACTGTAAGAGTTCTGATAAGCATGTAATAATCAGTCAATGTCCTCCGGTGAGATCCATAAACATTCTCGAGGTATGTCAAGGAATGGCCAAGAATAACGACTATGAGAATCCAAGAGTCCTGAAATGATGACACAAAGTTTATTCAGCTGGTTCCATCTGGTTATCAGTTGGAAATTCCTCAGGGAGGGGGTGGTGAGCATCAGATCACATTTTCTCCAGGCAAATTCAGATAAGATGACCTTCAAGGCCAGCCAAGGGTGCCAAATTCAGATAAACACACAGTTGTTTTGGAGACAGGCAGAACTTAATGACATCTACCTTCAGTCTGTGTTGGTCGACACGGTTCCGAAATGTCCAAAATACATGGCCACACCAATGGAACGTGACTGAGTAAAATCCCCAAGATCTGATCCATTCAGACCAAAGCATTTGAGTCTGGGTACTCGAGACACGAACCAAGCCATCATAAAGGCAAGCAGCGTGATCGGGTCCAAATTTGCTGCTGACGACTTCCTTGATTGTAGATAAAACCAGCACCAGCTGAATCCAAAAAAGCAGGAACCAGTGATTGAAAATCCAATTAAATATGCATCCTTAAAATCCACAAATGGCAGCAGAGAAAGACACATCATCAAGTCTTCCAAGTCGAAGAGATATCCAGCTGTGTGCGTGCCAACAGGGCAAATCGGCTCGCCTAAAGCCTGTCTTCTCTTCGAAGAAATGTTGTAAATTGAGTTGAGGAACCAACTGATCAAAGAAGTCCACAATTATGGTTCGGAAGATATGCAAGAGAGGCTCACAAGCAGTTTCACAGACAGACAGAGCAGCAAAGCAAAGCAGAGAGGGAGGGAGAAGCATCCGATCTCGGCGAGAGCAAGTGGTGAAGTGAACCCTTCTCCATTAAATAAACCAGGCAGCTGGTAGGAATTGTGGTTTCAAGATTGTCTGAAAATCACTTCCTTTCTGGTTCAAGAAGAAACTTTGGCCCCTCGATTTAACTTCTTCCATTAAGTAAATATCTCACCTTCATTGCTCTAGAAGCACAATCTGCAGGATTGTCCTTGGTGTTAATGTATCTCCACCGCGATACATGGTTGCATCTCTGATGATTGACACCTGATTTGCCACAAATGTGCAAAAACACGTCTTCATTTTTTATGTACCTGAGCACCGAAGTGCTGTCTGTCCAGAAAACTGATTGATCTAATTGCAGCTCCAATTCTGCTCTCAGCATCTGTTCCACTCGAACTACTAGAACAGCAGCTGTGAGATGAGGAATAGTTATCTGTTTCAAAGGAGTCACTCTTGCCTTTCCCAACAAGAAGGAAACATAGACCTTTC